CTCGGCGCGCATTTTCAGGCGCTGGCCCGGGGCCCCCCGGGGCCCCCCAAAGCCCCACAAGCTCTAAACCCTGTCTGCATGCGTTTGCATGCAGCTGCTGCTGCTGCTGCTGCAGCAAGTCTGCGCTGTGGGGCGGAAGAGACGCAGAGACAGAAGCAAGAAAGACCTTGGGGGCCCCTGGAGGTCATTGTGCGGCTGTCGAGACACCCCACGGCCTGCGGAGTACGTACACCCCACACACGGGCCAGAGACGGCTGTGGGGCCCCTCAGCTGTCGATACACCTGGGAATGCCTGGGGGGCCCCCGAGCCCTTGGCAGGGGCCCTCCGGGGGTCCCCCGTGCTGCTGGATCTGGCTGCTGCTGCTGCCAGGGGCCCCCGATTTGGGACTGAAGCAGCCCAGCAAGAAGGGCTTAAAACGAACTAAATAAAACTTTTAAAATTGAGTTAAACGGCTCAAGAACTGCTGCTGCTGCTGCTGCTGCTGCCTTGGGATGTGGGGCCCCCAGTAGCGCAGCGGCACTGGGGGCCCCCCTGCTGCTGCGAGGATCTTCAGGCACAAGCTGGGGAGCAGGGGTCAAATGTGTGTAATTTACTGAAATTTTATTAAATTAAATTTATTTTATTATTTTAATTTGCATTTTTAACTCAATTAAGGCTGAAAAAGCTCAAAGAAGCTGCGCGATCTCTACGCTGGGTAATGTACTCGTAGAGGCTGCTGCTGCTGCTGCCTCTGCTGCTGCTGCTACTGCTGCTGGTGCTGCGTGTCTTCGTGGATAAACTACCGAAACTGGCAGCGTCTGCCTTTGCAGATTGAAAAAGAATAAAATTAATTTTTCAAATTGAAGATTGGCCGACAAACAAAGTCAAGGTGGCGCCCCTGAAGACACCCGGAAGCTGCACGGCTAGCCATCAGCTGCAGAAGGAGCGAGCGCCACGCGCAGTTCTTGCGGTATACAAGTAAATAAACAAAAACAACACAATAAAACAACAAAACAATTTTAAAAATAAACAATTAAGCAATTAAAAGCCTTTAGTTGCGGGATTAGAGTTGCTCGGACTCCCAACACTGCCACGAACGCCGGTGACCTGCTGCTGCGGTGTCTGTACACCTCAGCGCAGCTGCATGTACACCTCCGCCACTTCTGGGGGCCCTCCCGGGGCTTCTGCTGCTGCGCTGCTGCAGTGTGGGGCCCCACAGCCCCCACAGGGGCCCCCCGAGCCCCATGCATGCGCTTGCGCCTGGCGGCGGCTCTCTGCTGCCAGCCTCGCTGGGGGTGGCCCCAGCAGCCTGCTTGACCAGTGGTTAGCTGCGCAAGGCAGCAGCAGCAGCAGCAGAGAAGAGAGAGACGAGGCCTCAGCAGCAGCCGCAGCAGCAGGGGGAGAAACAGGCATTAAAGAGCCATGGGGTGCTGCAGGAAACGCTGCTGGCGCAGCAGCAGCAGCAGCAGCAGCCACGGCAGCTGCAGGGGCCATCGACGGCATGTCGCTGCCTTCCACAGCAGACCCTCCACAAGGACACTCGGCAGCACCAGCAGAAGCAGCAGCAGCAGCAGAGGCAGCAGCAGCAGCAGCAACAACAGCCTCCGTGGGCTGGAAGCTGCAGCTGTTCAAGGCAGCCATTTGCCTCCAGAAGCGACGCCAAGAGTTCAACTGCAGACGCAGGCGGAGCCTCATTGCGCTCATACAGCATGCAACGCAGCAGCAGCAGCAGCAGCAGCAGCAGGAGCTGGGGCAGCAGCGGGAGCTGCAGGAGCAAAAGCAGCAGCAAGAGCAGCAGCAGCAGGCCTCGTATGCCTTGCCTGAAGCCACGGGAGCCGGCGCAGCGCAGCAGGCTGAAGACCTGACTCCGCTGGAGCAGCAGCAGCAGCAGCAGCAGCAGACAGCAGCAGGGATTCCTCTAGAATCGTCGAAATCACCTCAGTGTCAGTATGAAAACCCAGAAGACACAGCAGCAGCAGCACCTGCTGCTGCTGCTGCTGCCGCGGGTTCGCAACT